TTCTTTTTTTTTTTATGGGCTGCGATTTGGGCCGTTTCTCGCGTTCCCAAGAAAAGAAAACCTACCCGTCATCGATCTCTTGCCAGTCCGTCTCTTCTCGAAGAAGCGTCGACGATCCGCGCTGAGCGCCTCTTTTTGTTCTTTGCGGAGACGGTGTGTCACGATCGGCCTTTTAGTCGTCTCATTCTCGACCGAGATCGCACGTGTGCTTTTGTTGGAGAGCTTGAGGGATGGAAAAAGATCTGCACGTGCGCGATAAATGTTAGATCGATACTTGCTTCGTCTTTCTCTTGCAGCTATACTTCTGGTCCTCAGTCCAAATTAGTTTCTTGCACGGCGCGTAAGTATGCTTAGATGCGAGCGCGCGATACTTACCACGCGATACTATAACAATGTACTACTTTATTTTTCACATATTTTTTCAAGTCCTTTCTGTCGAGGTATCATTGAAGTATTTAGCGCGATAGTGTTAAGGAGGAGCTTGTGTCGCAGAAAAGCCGGCGTCGGCGTCGGTGCCGCCGTGACCGAAAAATCCTGATTGGTTGGTAGGGTCATGACGTCATAGCCACATGACCTTGCGCGGGAATTGCAAGCAACCCACAATGCTCACGTGAAACGTGACGTCTCGCGTGGAATAAAAGTGATTAAATCATGTCACGTAATGCGAAATTAAGGTTACCGCATGTTTCAAAGGATTTCACTTTATAAAATAATTAATTTGCCTTAAAGTCAAAATTTGAAAAATTTTAGGCGAGCCAGACACGCTATTGACTTGGCCGCGCAAAGCACGCTTGCACGACTTGGGAACGAGCGTGAGTTTGCATGTTTAGCTAACGCGTTTCACTCTTAAAGGCGAAGCTTAAGCGTCCTCCAAGGTTTTATTTGTACGGCAGCAACACTTTTTTTGGTCTCGATTGTTGCGAAATGAGAGTGTCGCTAACGCTAATTATGCGCTTTTAAAAATTGTTTCAAGACATTTACTTTAAAAGAGCGCCTAAGTTAGTTCCTCGAGTCTAATGCATTCCCGACAAAAATATGGTTATACTAAGTAACGCCCACAAACCACACTTCGGTGCTTTTTTTTTTTTTTTCTGTGGCAAAAAGGTATTTCGACCTGAAGCGCATTAATAAAAGAATAAATATTATTAGTAATATTCTTTGTATTTGTATGCACCAGTAATTTCCGAAACGCAACCTCGATTTTGTGTTATTAAATTCGAAAAAAAAAAAAACACCGCGTAGAAGTTGTTTTGAAAAAAAAAATAAAAAAATTCAAACGCGATATACGATAACAATATTTTTCTTTTCATTCTCATTTTAAGTCAACTCAAAACGCAGTCCCTACTGAGCTGTCCGCGACGGTTGCTTCTATTTGTTACGAGTTACACTTCTTATAATATTCCTAACAAGCTTGTTGGTATAACTATATAGCTTGGATAGAGAAATAAAAAACAGTAAGAGGGCACATTCTTTCAAAAGAATGGGCCCGTCTCGTTCTTTTACTGCATTAATTGTTCTGCCTAATGCACACTCTTTATCTCGCTCTTTAATTTATTATCGGTACCGGGAACGTTTTTGAGGCACTTGAGTCACTCACTTAATGTTCCCCGCAGGATAAAGAATTCCCCCCTACCCCCCCCCCCCCCCCCCCCCCCCCCCCCGTCTTCGGGGGCCGCGTCCTGTATTTTTCTTTTAGACACGAGCTTCGATATAGGACAATCTTTTATTTATTTATTTATTTTTACTTACGCCTGGAACAGTTTTTTTTTTAAACACCACATTTGTGAGAAAAAAAAACAATCCCCGAAAAACATCTTCCGTTTCTACATTGGATCCCGATATGAAACTGTAGAACCGTGTACCCCCTAAGCGAGAAAACATTGATCAATAGCGCGTGTCAGTCATCGCGAAGGCGTGACCCCCGGAGATATGACGCAACAGGAAAGACAACCGAAGGGAGGGTGTGACACCTCGTAGCGCCCTGTCGCCACGAGACGACATCCCGCAGCGACAGGTCCGAGCAGATAGCGCCGACGGCGACGGCGCCCAGTCACGTGGGGCCGTCGGCGACAGCGCCGTGCCATCCCGCTTGGACGCGCAGCCGAGCGCGAGAAGGGACGGACTTCGATTATCGGAGATCGTTTCCTCTGCTGCGATGAGGCGACGCGGGGAGCACGGCGTCGACGCTGAGCGGGACCACGACACCCGCTCATTGCGCGGGACCACGCTCACCGCGCTTTGCGTCTAGTCATAGCCTCCTCCATACTCACAAAGCCTGGCAGTTCGAGGACGGAGCCATAGAGTGCCCGGTCGCAGATTTGGAGCGCGAGGATCTGGTAGCACAGAGCATTTCTGGTATTCAGCGCACAGCTTTTGCAGCGGCGAGGTCCCGAAACATGGTTTTCAAACCCGACGAGAAAAGAAGCGTTAGCGCGAGGAACGCGAGGAGCATGAGTGGACATTCCATCGCTCGGGAGAAGTGTGTTTTGGCGTTTCGCCGCAGCGGGGCGCCCGTCACGTGGCTCTCCTCTCATCTGTTGCCTGCCGCTCTACTTTTTCACTTTCGGCGGCCGCGTCTCGTGGCGATCTGCCAGGCTTTGTTAGTACAGAGGAGCAGAGCCGTATATGTAGAGAGTTTGGCCATTCGTTGGGAAGTATAGGAGACAAATGAGGAGGCGCCATTGGCTGAAACTGGGCTGGGCGTGTTCCAGGGCGTCTTCAGAAATTCGAATGTGACCAACCAGAAGCCGGAAATAATACTCTGGCGGTGGTCGCGAGAAACACACCTGATAACTGCATTAGAGTAACTCTCGATGACTGAAAATATGGTACACGTGACTTTCAATCACGCTCATCCAAAATGATAGTGGAAGTGTGCGACTAGCGGAACGATCGACATAATCCGTACGCCAAGCGCCGAGGGCCGGGAATCCGCCGTCCGAGAGGTCACACTCTGTCCGAGCAAAACAGAGTTGAGCGGCGCATTCGTTTCTTACATCTCTCTGCATGATCATGATCAAAACAACACGCGCACCCTATTTTCAATTACGAAGAGTCACTACACTTCACTCTTACGCGCTTATTAAAAACATTTACGAACATAGACCTTTGATCAGAACTGTTTCTCGCTACCACCACTAGGGGATTCTTTTCGGCTTCTGGTTGGTCAAGAGAGCATGCCAAGCCCTCTTTCCGAGTCTGTTGCACGCCCCGGCTCTGCCCGCACCTCCCATTGACCAAACTCTCTACATATACGGCTCTGCAGAGGAGGCTATGTGTCTAGTAGACTTTGACAAGAGGGTAACAATCTTCCTTGCGAAGTAACGGTTGTTCTTTGAAAAAAAAACCTCGGCGTTGAAACAAATTGATTTGAGAGTAGCAGAATATGCGCTCTAAATCACGAAAATAACACTTCTTGTTTATATCTGTGGGATTTTACACTAAAACACTCTGGGTCTGCCCTATTATATTGACAAACTATCATCGCACTGCCCAGCGTCTCTATCATGAAAAACACTCTAGGTCCGCCGTTACTAATTCACCACCGAAAAATCTCTCTTTTTTTTTTATACAATATTTCACCAAAATATTACCCTTCGTCATAAACTAAATACTCCACCTTTCTGCATCTCTGCTCGCATTGATCATAGCCATAAGGTTGGTATTTCAAATTTTAGAGCTTCGTTCTTTCAATATTCTTTTATTCCTCAAATATCGATAGACATGAACCAACTAACCGCCTTGATAGGTAACATCACTGCTATTGTTTTGTGTAAACATGCTATTACTAATATGCGCACTTTATAGTTAATATTCTATAGCTCTCCCCCTCTTCAATGTACTCGCATAGAGAGTATTTGAAATAAATTAATTAATATAATGGTAGTTTTAAACTTACAGGGTTCAAAGAGCGTCCTTAACTTCCGTGAGAACTTTTACGAGAATCTTAGACAATTTTTCGAGAAACAAAAATGCGTAATCGGCTCCTAAGGGCCGACAACTAAACACTTCTGGGATAAGCCCGTCTGAACTGATCAACTTCCGGTGCCTTCGCGAGAAAGTACTACCGTGAAGTGGTCCCGCTGCATCCAGACCTCTCGCATTAACACCTGAGTGCTTCAATTCAGGAAAGTGCGGCAGCATCGGAGCCTATCCAAGTGGAGGGGGATAGGTGGCCGAGTGGCCTAGCGCACACCACCTCGGAGCACATGGAGCGAAAGCTCGCGCTGCAGAAACCAAGGCATCCTAAAATTCAATCCCCGCCCCTGCCCGTTTCGATCTGGATGAGCATCGTACCGGCGTGCGGTCGTGCATCACTACTGCGTGGTGCATGTTAGAGACCCCAGGCTAGCGGTTGTACCACACTGGCTAAATTGCTTATTTACAACGAGTGACTCGTCGCAACTTTTAAATGGCGGACCAACTACACGCTGTATAAATATCCGCACAACCCTAATTATTATTATATCCAAGTGGAGGAATACTTGTAACCTACAAGGCCACTGTCGCTTCTCCGAAAGTTAGCAAATACAGAAGTTATAAAGTCACCTACTTCTAAAGAAACTTAAGAGCCAGGCATATCATTATCGCTCGGCAACCAATCAGATTGCGATGTTAGCTGAAAAGAATGCCAAAGGACCAATCACGAAGCCACGCCCATTGTTTCCGAAACTGTCTCTGACTCTAGTTAAATAATTATCATAAATACCTCTCGGAGAAGTAGCGTGAAGCGGAAACTGCGACACAAATTAGACACCCGAGGATTTCTCACGATAAGTAAACCGTGGGTTACCTATTTCTTTGAAGATTCTTGTTGGTGGTGGTGTTGCTTTTTGTTGCACATAAACTTTAAGGTGATACGAGAATTAGCGAAATATTCCGATGTCGTAGAGTTGGATTCGAGTTGGCCAGACCACGCAGCTTCCTCGCATGTTGTTGGTTGGTCTTTCGTTGTTTACGTGCGTTCGGCTGAAGCCCCGTCGTCTTCCGTTGTCTTCCAGGTGCAGATCTTCGGGTACAACTCTGACCTGTACGCCAACATGTCGGAGGCCATGGAGCTGCGGCGGAGCGAGGGACTCGTCGGCATCTCCATACTTCTCCAGGTACGACGCGTTCGACTCCGTCCTCTTCACCAACGTCCATGCTGTGCGAACGGTTTTCAACCGTGAGGTATTCTTCGTCGCTGTTACATTAACTGGCATAAGCGCCCGTTTCTACTTTTAGGGATTGTCCCCAGTCTAAGGTTTTCTCGATATAAACTGCCAACGGGGTGTGTTCGTGCGTGTGTGTGTGCGTGCGTGCGTGCGTACGCGCGTGTGTGTGTGTGCGCGCGTGTGCGTGTGTGTGTGCATAGGCGTAGACTACGGGGAAAGGAGGGGGGCATCGGGGCCCGTGCCCCCTTGGTGAGATCCGGGGGGGGGGGGGGGGGGGGGGGGCATGATCTTTACCGAGATGCTGTTTACGGTGCCATGTAACAAGCTTCTACTAGTGGCATGTAACCAAAATAACGCACACAGCGACGGACACATGGCGATATACATACGCTGTAAAGTGTAGCCCCTAAAATAAACTAATGATAATTGCCTGTGTACAAAAATTGCGTGGAAAACATCCCCATCCCCCCCCCCCCCCCCCCCCCGGGAAAATGGAAAGTCTACACCGCTGTGTGTGCGTGTATGTTTGTGTTTAAATACCTCTTCGTTTGGACCACTTGCTGCTGTTGGCTTATTTGGAAGTGAGAAACAAGACTGCAAGATTAAAGAAACAATTAGTTTCCAGGTGGGTTAGACTAAGTTTTACAGCAAACGGTAGGCAATAGAAAAGGTACAGTTTTTTGATATAGGGTATAAATTATACAGAACTAAAAAAAAAGGCAGCAAGAATACGTCCCCGCAGAACGAGAATAGGTATAAACTTGCGAGTGGGCATTTGAGCGGGTTGTGTTTCTTGATCTCACATTTCACGTATCTATATCCAGATTTCTTTGATTACCGAGGTGGCTGCTCAACAATTGTGGTTTTCGCTTCAAATAGTAACGAACGACTTCTTTCCAGTTGGGTGACCTGTCCCACTCGGAACTCCGGGTTCTGACGGGTCAGCTACATCGGATAACCTACAGAGGTGAGCCTTGAAACAATGTTATCAACAAGATAAGGCCTGCGAATGATGTCATCTTTAGTGGTTACCCTACCAGCCACGAGCAGCAAACACCCTGAAATTCGGGGAAAATCAAAGCAAGGCGGTAGACGTGTCCGTTTTGGCGTCACCGCGTGCTGACGTCGCGTTCGTTCTTAGAAGCCGCAAGACGCGCTTCTGGCGCGCGCTGCGTGGATTCACTAGTCATAACGTTTGCGAGAAAAAGACGCGTGGATTCACTAGTGATCACATTCGGGAGAGAAAGACCGGTGGATTGACTAGTCATAGCGTGTGGGCGAGGAAGACGCGGGCATTGTCTTTAAGATGGTATTGCTTGAAAGTTTTTCTTTTCGGTTTCTTGTCGTCGGCTAAGACGAAGACACCCGTTTGCTTGGCTATCTTATTCCGCCATCTTTTAACAAAACTTTATTTTTCCTGCGAGAAATTGCTGTTTCGCTTTTGCGTTAAGAACTTTGAAACTCAACCTATTTTTGAATACGTACTCGGCTCAAGTTTTGGCATAACTTTTTACCTGCAACCGGTATAAACGTTTGCAGGCAAAATAGGCGGTTAGTTTTCATAACTTTTTTTTTGTTCTCAGCTCAGAAGGCAGTCTCTTTTACAGTACAGTGTTAGTTTCCACACGAGCAAACTGACGCGGCGCCCGAATTCAGAATCAATTTCCGCAGTCCTTTCGAATTGCGCGCCTGTAGAAGCGATGTAGCAAAAAAGATTTTAAAACACAAAGAGCGCTGCGATACAGACACAGTAAGAGAAGACATACAGAAAACAGCGCTGCCATACAACGAAACTCTACCGGCGCTTACGTCGTATCGCATGTAGTGTTTAAATTCGATGTCGGCGCCAATCAATTTTAGTTGTAAGTTAGCGCTGTTGCCTTCCATCCTTCTTTTAATTTTTTTTTTCTGTGTCGCTGCGCTGTCTCTCTTTTTAAGAATGAGCTACGAAATATTACATTCACCGAAGTTCATCGAATAACAAATGACCGGATCCGTGCCTCGACTTGCAAATGATTTACGTGACCTAGGGTCACAAATCACGAGGTCACGTGACGTCAAGGGACGTCAGAGACCGTGACATTTATTTCTTCGCCAAATTTACGAAGGAAATGAACAGACGGGACGGACGGGCAACATTTTGGTATTACGTGTATGGTGGGTCAAAAGAAGAGGGGGGGAGGGGGGGGGGGGCTGCGACTATCATCCTGGCGTGAGCGGTCTCGCGATTCGTGCCCATAAAGCGCGGCATAATCGGTATGCTAGACGCAGCACCACCTTGGACTCCGGTGCTAGGAGGAAAAACGAATACTAACAAAAACGGGCAGCTTGGCCATTTTGTTTCGCCGTATAGAGCTATTGTTCATCTGTAAATGGGAACACTAGCCTTTCATTCTGCTTATATCTTTCGCCTGCTCCAATTTTGTAGCATTTAACTTTTTTCTTTAACCGTGTGGCGCGTCTGTAAGCTTATAGATGGTGCCTGTAGAGACCTCTGGTCGTCGTCGATGGTTACGTTCAAGCAAACTTTTATGTGCACTATCTACAAGCTGCAAGTGATCCTATCTGGAGTGTCGTTTCCGTGTTGATTCATCAATCTTCTCTTCTTCACTTCGCCGCCTTCCATCTCCTCGTGCCAGGGATATGGCTTACCACGAACCACTTAAAGGAGCGATGCAACAATTTTTGTACTTTGCGCAAATACCGCTTAAAACGGATCCCTAACGTTAATGACCTATGAAACAGGCGTTCGTTTTTCACCCCACGCAATAGAAGACCCAGAAAAAAATTAAAGAAAAACGAGCAGCGTTCACCCCCTCAACTCGCACCCAGAACAAGCGGCCACGTGATCTGGAGCCGATTATATGCCGCCAGTGTTGATCATAGCCACGCGCAGGGGTTGGCAAAGCGCAGGACACGCGCTGAGTTCCAGACGTTGTTATGGCTCGGCTGTTGTCATCGTTGCAGCGATTGGACACGGCTCACAACCCGAATGCTCCTCGAGCTAGCAATTGTCACGAGCCCAAGTCGAGTGCCCACGCAATGCTCGGGTCCAATCTATGAACCGCATTCAAATATCGTCACTTGGGTGTACTGCGATCCCCGAGTTACGTCATCAAATTTTGCAAAGGAGAGATTGAATGAAAATGATCGCTTTTGTCCTTGAAATTACACCGCAACAAAGGAGTTTCTTTGACAATGGCATTGCGTGTGAGTATCCTTGAGTCCCAGGTGTGCCATTAAGCTCGTGTAGAGAGAAAAACATTCCAATTGAATATCGTTGCACAGCTCCTTTAAACGTTCCAACAGTGCCATGGAGGTAGAGACGCATGAGGCGAGGAACCGCTCTTGGCCACTGAGAGAAGCAAGCGATCGCCCCACTTGCCCCTCACCATATTTTGGGGTTCTCGTTAAGAAGCGTCCTATGCATTAGAAAAAAACACCATTGGTTGTCGATAGAAGCGTGCCATCGCGTTCGACGCCCAATTTAAGCGGACGACGCGTTTCGACGAAGAGCAGATGCCCGATTCCCTTCGAAAATAAAGAGTAAAATTGAAGGCGGCGATTTTTGTGCCGGCTAATCTGGTGACACGGCGGGGGAGCGAGCACGGCGGCGTCGTCAGCGGCAGGCTCTTTCTACAGCCAGCGTCCGGGGATCTCCGCGTGCCGACGACGCGTTCCCGCGGGCAGCTGATTTATGGCGGTCCGCGAGCTCGCTCGGCGGCAACAGCCAGGCAGCGGCCACTCTGTTAGGAGCTGCCTCGTTGTTATCGCCGAGCTGCCCTCGCCTCTTTCTCCTTAATGTCCTCCAAACAATGTTTCTCGTGTGACTCGGCTCGCGTCTGCATGGGATGCGCACACCGGACACTTCAATCTTCCTGTCTTTCGAGATGCTTTTCTCTTTTTAGATTAAGGTTGGTTTATTTGTTCTTTAGGGGGATGAAGAGTAAATATGTTTGAGGACGTTTAATAATTTATTAGCTTAATAAAATACCGCGTGCCACGTCGGGTAGTGGTCGCAATATGCACTTCTCGCTGTTATTTGTGACGAGTCCGTTTACTGAAGAACCTTCTAGGACCTCAACAGGCATTAAAACAAAACAAAAAACACAAATCAAATGGCGTTAAAATGCAAATACAATCTAACGCAGTTGGAATGTAGTTGAAACCGCAGCTATAAACAAACAATCTCAGTTACTAGCACCGAAAGTATGTGCAGGCGACATGGTTAAAAAGGAACAATTCCAACTCTGGGACTCCGAGGTGTAAAATAACGGACTAAGTGTCGTGTCGTCTCGTTTGTTCTTTCGTTTCCCCGTGTCTCAGAGTTTAGCTCATGTTTAAACTACTAACTGACGCAATTAGGCGTAAGAGTAAATAGCCCATACGATGGACTAAAATAAAGCTCCTACTTTGTCCTCGAGTGAAATAGAAATGTCGTATTTTTCGGCCACAATGTGCGACGACATGAAAGTGATAACTGTATCACGGTCGCGCAATGCGGGAAAAGGGGTGCCGCCAAGTACAGGGTGTCACAAAAGAAAATTTACACGGCCTTTTTTACCGCAAAAATAAACTAGGCATCGCCAAACGCTCATTCTCCGCCCAAAGGTAGCGCTAGACGTCACAACCAGATGCCAAAGTTTCAGCCCGATCCGATAACTTAATCAAAAGTTATAAGTGATTTTCTGAAAATTTCAATAAGAGAATGGCGGCCGACGGAGTTTTCAAACACATGGGGCTCTATGGCACCAGAAATCGAAAACGGGCATAAATGGGCTCCATTTTCCCATTGAAATGTTCAGAAAATCACTTATAACTTTTGATTAAGTTATCGCATCGTGCTGAAACTTTGGCATCTGGGTGTGACCTCTAGCTCTACATATGGGCGGAGAATGAGCGTTCGGCGATGCTTAGTTTATTTTTGCGGTAAAAAAGACCGTGTAAATTTTCTTTTGTGACACCCTGTACAGGGGGGCGGAGCTGAGACGTGATCTCATTGCCGTCGTGTTCGGCGTCGTAGATGCCACTGACTACTGCCACGAGTGTTCGGTGATTCGGGAAGTGGGTAAGGCGAGGCACTGTGCCAGTTCACGGCGCTGGGCCGCCACAAACTGGAACGAATGAGCTCTCGCTTGGCGAACGGAAGCCTCAAACCGCTGGCGCCATTAACAATAATGCGCGGCTGTGGCGACGCAGGGAAAGGCGTAGTGTTTTCCCAGTGAAGTTGAGCGGTAAAGAAAGGGGTAGTTTTGAAAGTCGATTGATGAGTGGAGAGGGGAACGCTAGCAGAAAAACGAGGCGAAGCACTGCGAGAATCAAGTTGCAAGGTGACGATTTTTAGCAGAACAGCTTTACGTTTCCAGATGAGTTTGAGAATTAGAAATGTCAAGATGAAATCAAACGCGCTGAATGTTTCTAAAAACATGCAACGCAACGCGTAGCAACTGGACACTGTCAAAGTGCGATTTCGTATAACGCGAGTAATCTTTGAAAACAACTCTTTGAGGCAGACGACAGAGAAACTCTCCCTTCGTCGCGCCATTAATGATGGGACACCGAAGATTCTCTCTTTTTTCTCTTCGCGTGGCGCGGCTGACGGGAAGGCCCGCCTGCCCTCTCCTTGCGCCAATATGCGAGAGGAGAGTTTTTCCTCGACGGTGACGACAGCCGACGAGCTCAAACTCTCTGCCAAGTGTCGCCCGTAAAGCAATCACTTTAAAAAAGATCCCAACCACGACTTCAAGTCAAAACCTTCTTCGCCTTCACAACAACGGTTTTGACAGAGATGCCGAAGTGCAAATCATGGTATCACCAGAAAAAAAGAAATTTACGGTTTTTTGTTTTTTTTATTACGAAGATAAACCAATAGTTTTCTAACACTCAGTCTCCTCCAAAATGTAGCGCTAAGGGTCCAAACCAGTTGCCAAAGTTTCAAAACGAACCGTTATCAGATATAAAAGCTAA